GCACAGACGCACGGAAAAAATGACATATAACCCAAATTTTGATTTTGGGGCTATTTACATCTATAGCATCTAACGACCTGGCTGGTTCACACAACCTCCGCTAGAGGCCACCAAATGAACTATCCTAAAATTTTGAGTTTTCTGATAACAATTTTTAAAAATTTTTAGCTTGAGATTAACAAACTTTCTTTATTTCATTCCACATTAGAATATAATTTTTTATTATTAAAAAAAACTACAAATCTATGTCAAAATAATGTAATTTTTAATCAACAATGAAGGAATATGTTTTTACAATATTTTTGTAATTTTTCAAATTTCATTTGTTGAAAATACATATCTTTTACAAAAAAACTTAATAAAAGGAAAAAATATTTTTAGTTTTCAAATAAACATAATTTTTGAATATTATATTAAAAAAATTAAATTAAGAAACAAATTTTAGAAAATGTTGCTGATGTATATTTACAGTGAAGGGTATAGTTCTATTTAGATTATACCTGGCTTAGGGTACATAGATCTAATGTGGCTGGATTTGTAGCCAATTCTTGTCCTGTGTGGTATTTAGAGCGATCATTGTACCTCGTTGAAGTAAGACAGGTTGAAAACCTGCCTATAGGTTATAGGGTAGAGATCGGTTATGGGCTGGATAAGTAGCCAATACTTTTGTCCCTGTGTGGCATTTAGAGCTGCAGTTGGGTTGTGTCCTGGTTGAATTGGATAGCAGACTGGTTGAGCCTGGACTGATATAGTTTTGAGGACAAACTTTTAAGAGTATGGCATTTACTACATGATTAAGGTTGTAGGGTTTAAAATAGGGTTTCCAGTCGAAATATTTTGCACGAAAATTGTGCAAAAATTGCACAAAGATTTGCTTATGTTTCGAGTAAAAATTGAAAGAAGTTTCTATGTTTTTGTGCATTGATGCGCAAAAGCTATTTCGCGAAAATTTCGAGAAACAATTTCAGGAAATGATGAAAAAATTCAAAATTAAACCAGTCAGAGTCAACTATACTCCAGCCTGCTCAGCGCTCACACATGCTGACCGAATGAGTCCCAATGCTCAGGTGTTAGGTCACCAGACCGTACGTTCTACTAAACCGTTTACCGGCAAACAATCTCTAGTGGTAACTTAGTCACGAATTACTTAATCATAATCACATTCACTATTCATCAGTCCAGTCTTAAATTGGAGACGAGCAGGGTTAGATGGAAGTTGTTATTTACTGAAACTAATTCACACCATACTGTCCAAATATTGAAATCTTTCATATTTATGCACTACATGGCATGCAACAAATATTACTTAATTTCGTTTTCATGCACAATACTGCTCTACAAAAATTTTGACTTTCCGTATTCATGGGCATTGCAAAAATGACCTGTATTCATGAGCAATATCATGAAATATTCTGACTTAAATTTCGTATTCATGAATACTTTTGTGAAAAAAATTATTCAATTCGAATGAATTCGCAATTTCGTGCAAAACTGGTTTTGTATTAATACGAAAATGATGCGGAATTTCATGCAAAAAAGTCATCTCGTGTTGCGCAAGAGAATTGACTGTTTCATGGAAACCCTAGTTTAAAAGCCATCATTTGGTCTCATAATTTGCAACTCACCATAGCAATTTTAAGACTTCTATATAGATTTTCACATCTACAGTATAAGAAATGCGCAATGACTTTGCACATTTCAAAGTGTTATACTAGAGAAGATGATAGTTCATTTTTTATCAATATTAAAGTTTCAGCATTCTATACTTCAAATTTAAAACTAGTTTAACCCTAAACAATCTGGAGGGGGCTGGGGCAGGCATTTCCCATGCTGAAGTGTATTTGATATTGTTACAAAGCAAATAAGTTACTAATAAGATAATAAGTCACTTATTAAGTAAAATTGGTCTGTATTTGCAGGTGGCTGTGGTCGAGACTGCACAAACAGGAAAATTGATAAAAATAAAGAAATGAACAATTTTCCATTCTTTGTGTAAATAAATAGATTTCAATTATAATCCACCAATCCATGAGTGGTAAGCTGGATTTACAGTGGTACCCTATAAACTAATTTTTCTTAGATGAAATAGCTTAAAGGGTTTCGTTGTGAATCCGACATGTCACTCTAAATAAAGATTGAATTAGAATAAATTGAAGTCCTACAGTTCCTTTCAGGCTTGAAAATCAATTTTATTTGACATTTTTTTATCAATTAAAATAGAAAAACAGAAAAAGTGATAATTCAAGTTAGACATCCTTTCGGGAGGGCATGAAATTTGTTTTTAATATTAATTAAAAAAAATCTATATTAATGAATCAACTGTGAGAAAAAGTTTTAGAATAAAAATAAAATTTTATGCCTGCTTGAGGTCAACAGAACGCTTAGTTTCAGCTTACAGGTAAAAAGTTTTAGTGCACAAGGATAAAAACTGTTTTAAATGTGTTAGCAAACATTTTTTTGGGCTTTCATTAATTTAACTTGCTTACTAACTCTTTAGAACTGTCTGTTTAAAAGGGTTGTTCTGGACCTATTAGTAATTTATCGTAATTATCAGAATTTTAAAAAATGACCAACTGTTAAGGTTTTATGTAAACAATATGTATATTTATCAAATCTTAATCCTATTCCAGCTGGCTTTTCTAAGTAACATACCCCCTCAATTAACCCTATTCCAGATGGATTTTCTAAGTAACACATGCCCCTCACTAAACCCTATTCCAGCTGGAATTCCTAACTAACACATGCCCCAAACTTTAGGCTAAAAATGGGGCTTTTATACCTACTGCCTGAGTCCTAAGGCATACTGCCTGAATGACTTATTTTAACTTAACCCAACTAAACTATACCTACTTCCTATCATTATAGCTCATAGGAAAATCTTGAACAAAAGTAAACAACCTGCACAATTTTTGCGAAGATGTTTTGCATAGATTTTCGCACAGAAGCTTTTAACACTATGAAGGCTTGGGGGTCTGAAACTTTGATGGCACAATTTCAGTTTTCCATAAATAAAAATTAGTTTTTAAATATTTTGCAAATGTTTTTTTCATTTTTAAATTTGCGGTGGTAAGGGCTTTTCAAAAATGTATAAATCATCATATTTCTGTTTTTGCTTAATAACTGGAAATACATACTTGAATTTTTTTTGAAGATTAATTAAGGAAAACCTTTCTAAAAGTGTATCAAATATTATAGATTTGTATCACAATAAGAAAGTAGAGGGGGGGACCCTCCCTCTCCCAGACGTCAGCCTGAATAGGGTTAAAGGTCAGAGTTTCTGAATCTGCCATGCTTACTTTTTTTTGTGTTATGTTTTTGTGTGTCATTTTCAATGGAATATTCCGTATTATAATCTAAGTGTTTCCTGTTCCTCAGTTGTATGACAGTATGTGTGTATTGTGGTGTTCAAATATAGTTATTTAGACATTTGTTTGTAACTGAAGGCTGGAAGGATTTAAAGCTTATGAAAGAAAATATCAGGGACAATTAAGAACATGAAAACTAAGAGATGAAAATTTAGTTAATAATTATTAGATTTTTTTTGGCAAAATATAGGGTTACCCATATTTGATGAGACTTTAATGACGACCTCAAATCCAAGAACATTTAAAGTTTAAATTTCGTTTTTTTACGTAAATAGTCTTTTATGGGTGAATTAATTGGTTTGGAAAATAAGCTGCACTGGGGGTAGGGTTTCCATTATTCCGGAACAAATTTCCATTTTGGAAATAGAACTATCTGGGAATTTTTTTCCGTAATGTGGAATTTCGGGATAGTTCCGGATCAAATGGAAACCAGAATGTTTACAGTTTATCTGACATAATCTGGAAATTGTTCCATTTAACAGAATGGAAACTATGAAATTTTCAGTTTCCATTTTGTAACCCAGATCATTTTTTCCGGTTTACGGAACGTAAACTGAAAAATTTCCAGTTTCCATTTTGTAACCTGGAAATTGTTTCCAGTTAAGGTAGATTAACATAACGTTCTGGATTGAATATAAAAGACTACTTACGGAACGTAAAGAAAGTTTTTTATTTGAACTAAATTCATATTTACAAAGCTTAAAAGTCAGCTACTGCTTGTCTACAACTACAGTTCATCAATATTCAAGACTATTCCACTGTAGTTTTCCCCTTTACCTTAACATTTCAGGGTGGGAGGTGGGGTGGGGGGGCTTAAGCTCAGGGTGGCACAAGGATTATTGCTCTCCCCCCCCATTTACGCTACTGCTAGTGCTAGCCTTCCTCCCCCCTCAGTTTATCAGAATTCACACTTGAAACTTTGACTAATGAGTACAACTTTTTACATGCATTCTACCAAATGTTGTTAGTTTTACTTACTGTTTTTGTCTTTACATAAGTTTAAGAGGCTTTACTGTAAATCTGGTACCTTGCTCCAGAACAATTTTCAGAAACTTTCTCAAACAATATTCCGGAAATTTCCAGAATGTTCAAGAATTTACTGTTCATGGGAAAAAGTTGTTAAATTGTTCTGGAATCCTGTCCCCATAACGGAAATGGAAAAATTTCCTGACCACATAGGTATGTTAACTGTCACCCAGATTTCTGGTTGAAACCCCAGCTGTGGGGAACCAAATATGTAATAAATAAATTTTAATGAATTCTCTGTAGTCTCAAAGTCTCATTCATCGTTGGTAACCCTGATCAGCATTTAAAATTTTGCAATGAAGCTGATCTTCCATTCCGTTTTGATTTCTAATATAAAATTGTTAAAAACTTTGGACACAAGATTCATTGATTGATGAATAAATTGCTCAAAAAAACTATTCTAATTTGGTTGAACAGTGCAGAGACAATCCAAAAATTTACCAACATAAGCTGGAAACAGTTTGTCCATCTTGTTCTGAACCAGGGATTATTCAAGTAAGTTTTTTTAAAAGTTTATGGGAAAGATTTTAGTACACTTTTCATGCTTTTCTATTTCATGCTAATTCAGATTTTTGATTTTTCTATAACTCGTTATCACTTGTGTTCTAGTCTAGATTAAATTAATTTCTTGAACTTCAGTGATACCAAAATAACCAAAAATGTATTTTTTAGAAAGAGAAGTTTAGAAGAAATTTATTCTCAACAAAAAAACCAAATGTTTGAGGTACTAATCAATCATTGATCAGAGAAAATTTAATATTAACATCTGTAGTTCTTTCCTCAATTTAATTAATTAATTAATTAATCAATTTCCTCAATTTCGTTACTTTTTCACTTGCATAAATCTTAACTTTTTTTAGAAAACCTTCTGATACAAGTTATTAATCTTTTTATACACTAAACAAGGAAATGTCATTATTTTTATTAAGAAAAAGGTTCACAGGGTAGATTGGGCAGGTAGTATACTTAGCATAAATCAGAAGTTGTGTAAACAGTCTGTGTAACTTCAGGCTCTAATGCTGGTCCACTGGGCTCCTATATGGTTGACAACTGCAGTTTGCAATCCCACATACCAACCTGATATAATTTTAAAGCTGGAAAACTTAGGTGACAAATTACTAGAGAATGAAATTACATTTTAGAATCAGTTGACAGTTTCCCCTTTTTTAGATTAAACTAGCAATGCAATATCAATCAAAACGAAAATTGTTTAAAAAGTTATAAATTAAAAGTAAAAATTTTTTTTTGGCAAATATATATGTATACAATTTTAAATTTTTTTTATTCAAAATTTCATTTTTCAGGCTACGAGTTCAACTTGTTTCTGAATATCATTGGTTTACCTCCTTCAGAATATACTTTACTTCAACTAGTTGTTAAGGGGTATCTTTTTCAATTTAACTATACCTAACCCCCCTAAAAAGGCAATTTACTTTAAAAGGTTGAACTAGAATGCCAAAAATTTTTTACAATGTACCTCATATCGTCTTGCTGAATGCCCTGGTACAGACGGGAAAAAATTATATGAATTTAAAAAAAATCATATTAAAAAGATAAATCCAGGAAAACTGTTTGATTAAAATGTTTTTTATAATTAGTTAAATATTTTTTTTTATTATTTATAATGAATGAATGAAGATATACTGGAAAAATCAGTAAAAGACGGGAATTCAAC